ATAGGTTTATCTGTAACTCTAATAAAATACTGTTTACATTTCAATAAAAGTCACATATTTTTCTTTGGAATGTAATGTGTTATTTATTCAAGTTACATTGTTCTAAGTGACATTTCTTGGTGAAAAATTACTACTCATTACGGTTATTTATAAATATGTTTCTGCCTCCTCTCTCTGCAAAAAGAAGTATACTCGCAAAATCTTTACACTGTAATTAAGGATCTGAGATTATCAGAAATTATATAGCCTTATCTAATCTCAGGGCAGATAGTGATGCAGAGGATTCCGGGATTAGTCATCTTACAGAACTCTTACACACAATTCTCTTACCTGCAACTATAGATGGAGTTTGTGCCAAGGATGAAAATGAGACAGGGTGTCCCGAAAGCTGCTGCAACTTTGTCACCTGAACAACAGGAAAAAAACAAAACCAGATAACCCTTAATATAAATAATTGTCAATTCTACATTAGTGGTTCTTGACAGTATCTTGGAGGATCTCTCCAAGCTCAAGATTTTCTCCTGGCTGGAAAAACTGCTTCCAAAAGGAACCAACGAAACTATATCGACCACTGTGTTTGTATTACTGTTTCAAATAAGTCTGGGGTAGTAAGCTTTATAAATATATCTTTTAAGAAGCAATATTGAGCTATCCATCTCATAACAACAGGGGCTCTTTTTCACTATGGTTCATGCCAATTTTAAATTAGGTTTCGGCTGTAGCCGTGGGATCGTCTCCATCCACTTAAACAGAGTTACCACTAAGGATACAGAGATGGGCTTTCCTGAAGGTCAAGATTCATTGAGTGGTTAAAATTAAGTCATTCTAAATGCTTTTGTCTGTTTTTGTAAATTCTGCCACAGCCCTTAACAGCTGACCTCAATACAGTGCCCCCAGGATTGATCTGTGATCTCCAGATTTTACAGGGAGGCTAATATGCTTGAAGCACCTGGTTGGAAAGATTCTTCTATAACCTTTTCAAGAAAAGAAGCATAGGATGGATCAAGTCCAGAGACCAACAACAAGATGTGAGGACAACAGAGGAGAAGACCTGGAGTTTAAATACAGATTGCAAGTTGGACTCACCTCAGCTTGAGATATTCCACTATATTGTCCTTGCATGGAAAATCCCTACAAAAGGGGGAAACAAATACAAAAAAGAAAGGTATTCTGAAAATATATTAGAGCTTCCTTGTAAACTTCATTTATTGAAAGGGCTTAAAGTAAGAAAAAAATCACAGAGAAAAGCAGGGGGGGAAAGTGGCAGGTGCAGTTGCAGCAGGGGGAAAAAAAACCACAACAGCAACAAAGTAAAAGTAGATATCCTGGAAACTTAAAGAACTGGACAACATTTCCCATTTGATTTTTAAAAAGGTACTTCAGAGTTCAAGCAAGCATTGCACCTGTCTGCCATTCGTTAAAGCAGAGCTGCCCTCTGATGCTAGGTAGAGACTCAGCCTTTCTCCATGCTAGAGAAAGACTTAGCTGCTTTAAATGGTTGCAGGCAGGTGTGCATTTAAACCACTGAAGCGCCTTTTTGGAACAGAATCTAAAGCACTGCACAGCCCTAGAAAGCTCAATGATTTCTTAATTGTAAGCATTATAAAAAACAAAGGACTCAGGAGCTACAGAAATTCTACCATAAGTTTTACAACGATGCAAGGACATGTGTGTAGTTTTGTCTCTTGATCACATAAGATTCAGCATACCAGTACAAAAAATACATTTTGTAAGGAGTAGCCAAAACAAATGTTCTTTTACAAGCTTGACTGAATGGCCTGAGCAATGGAACAAGTCTTTTCATTTACAAACAAAAAACAAAAAACCCTGGCCATTTCCATATCTAATGTGTTGGGTTTTTAGTTTGTGCATTTATATGCAGTCGTAATTTGATTTATTCAGTCATTCAGAATTTTTTTGCATCAACTTGTACATCTTTGGCCATCTAGTAAATGTGTTTTAATTTTTAAACAGGAGCTAATGCTTCTCAATTCTACTACAGTATAAAAAACAAATTAAAGTTAATATGATCATCGGTGTAGAACAGTGTAAGAAAAACAAAACAATGGGATTTTGTTCAAAATTATAGTGAATTCTCACTGAAATCCCTATAAATTGACTTAGTATAATACATTGATTTCTGTTTTTTCTCACTAAGCACTTATAGGTTCATATGACAATCCTGTCTGGGAGAAACTGAAATTATGACACTTCCAAATTTGCATGCACTGGATTATATTGTCAATTGTTATTGTGCAGCTTTGGTGAAAAA